GGAGTCATCAAGGGTTTATATTATATTGTTTTGGTCATACTGCAGTAATACCAGTCGTTTTTAATGCATGCTTTACGGGTCTAAAGTAGCATTTTTACTCTTTAGGAAGAAAAATAGTTTTTAGCCCCTATGGAGTAAAAATCAGCTGTTGTCAGCTCAGTTTTAAATTTCTATTGTAAACGATTGCATGTATCGAAATATGTATCGATTCGTGCTTTGTAATTATTTTAACCTACAGTCTACATAGTCTCTTCCCATAGCGTTTTAGCATTGCAGATACATTAATCCATTCCCACACTCAACACGCTCACCTTTACTCTTCCTTCACCACCCACCAAGTCGTGGACCCATTTCCCTCTCCTCCCATAGCATTTTAGGATTGCAGATACATTAATGTAATTGCCAAAGACAGTTCCCACACTCTGCACTGCAAGCCTTACTACTTCCTTCACCATTTCCTACGACATAGAGTTGTTTCCTTCCCTTCTCATAGCATTTTTGGATTAAAGATACATCAATCTAACTGCCACATACGGTTTTCACACTATGCTCATACTTTACTAATTTCTAAGCCATTTCCTACATCGTGGACCTGTTTTCATCACTTTCCATAGCAATTTAGTATTTTAGATACGTTAATCTAATTGCCACTAACATCCCCACACTCCGCACTGCTAGCCTTTACTACTTCTATCGCCATTTTCTATGTATTGGGGATGCTTCCATCCCTTCTCATAGCATTTCAGCATTGCAGTTACATTAATCGAACTGCTACAAACGGTTTCCAGTTCCCACACTCCACACTGCTCACCTTACTACTTCCCTCGCTTCTTCTTACGTCGCGGACCTGTTTCCCTCTCTTCCCATAGAATTTTAAGATTGTAGATACCTTAATCTAATCGTCATAAACAGATCCAACACTCCGGACAGCTCACCTTGACTACTGCCTTCACCACTTCCTACGTCCCTGACCTTTTCTCTCCCTTCCCAAAGCATTTTAGGATTGCAGATCCCTTAATCTAATCGTCATAAACAGTTCCCACACTCCAGACAGCTTGCCTTGACTACTTCCTACACCACTTCCTACATCGTGGACCTGTTTTCCTCCCTTCCCACAGAATTTTATGATTGCAGATACCTTAATCTAATCGTCATACACAGTTCCCTCACTCCGGACTGCTCGCCTTTACTACTTCCTTCACCACTTCCTACGCCACGAAACTGTTTCCCTCCCTTTCCATAGCATTTTATGATTGCAGAAACCTTAATCTAATCGTCATAAACAGTTCCCACACTCCGGACAGCTCGCCTTGACTACTTCCTTCATCACTTCCTACGTCGCGGACCCGTTTTCTCCCTTCCCATAGCATTTTATGATTGCAGATACCTTAATCTAATCGTCATAGCAGTTCCCACACTCCGGACTGTAAGCCTTTACTACTTCCTTCGTCACTTCCTACGCCACGGAACTGTTTCCCTCCCTTTCCATAGCATTTTATGATTGCAGATACCTTAATCTAATCGTCATAAACAGTTCCCACACTCCGGACAGCTCACCTTGACTAATTCCTTCATATTTTCCTACGTCGCGGACCCGTTTTCCTCCCTTTCCATAGCATTTTATGATTGCAGATACCTTAATCTAATCGTCATAGCAGTTCCCACACTCCGGACTGCTCGCCTTTACTACTTCCTTCAACACTTCCTACGTCGCGGACCCGTTTTCCTCCCTTCCCATAGCATTTTATGATTGCAGATACCTTAATCTAATCGTCATAAACAGTTTCCACACTCCAGACTGCTCACCTTTAGTACTTCCTTTAGCACTTCCTACGTCACGGACCTCAAGCTAGTGTCGTCATTTAATTATATTTATGATTCATACCGTTTCTGTTCTAATATCTGTGGAATAATGCTATCAGCTATTTATTTATCTACTGCATTCAAAAGTCAACAGCTGATCATATGTCTTTGTTTATGTGTCAAATACTGCTTCCATAAGGATTACATTGAATCTTTGAGACCCAGTGGGGCGGATTCCTGAGAGTTATTTTTAACGCCATATAGATGTTGGCACTCACCGATATGGTCTTTATCACCATCCAAAATTTGAAAACGATTGATTCAGCCGTCTAGGAGGAGTTTGCGTATTACGAAATGCATAAAAGCCGACGTATAAGAGCTTCGCTCGCTTCGCTCGCTCCGCTCAATTAAAAAGTTTCCTTAAATTTGACTTCATTGTCTATCAGGTGCCTATTAATAAGAGTACTAAAAGCACCCTCATGGCTCCTAGATCTAAGTCAAAGTCAAACTCAAAATAAACTTTATTCGTATAAATACATAGCAGTATCAGAATAGAGTCACATATAACTAAAAATCACATACTTTCATCATACTTTTCTCCGATCCATAGCAGAACGCTACTGTGGAAACCACGAATCTGCTTGTTACGCAACGCATTGCCGGATTTCTTGGAAAACACTTTTGCGCAGCGTAAAATTTTAATCACGCTGTTCCTGGCCACGCAGCGTTCTTTGGATTAATCGCGTAGCACGCAGCGCGGTTACTGAAGTTGGAGGAAAACGCACCTTAAATCAAACAAAAGAACTAAATATTCTCAAGATATTTAGCAATGACTAGAAAACAGCAAACAAGGCTGAGACTATTGACAAATATGTGTCGGAACTGAAACTTTTGAGCCAAGATTGCGTTTCTGAAGCTAAACCTACATTTTTTTATGTACATTCGTCACGCTTTTATCAATGGCTTAGCCTCGTCATACATACGTCAGAGACTATTTGAAAATAAAACTTTAGACCTAGCTGAAGCAGTGAAACAAAAAACAAGCAGAGGTCTTGAAATGGCTCAAGCTCAGGCATAATTTCTTATGACTTTAAAAGATTTGACTCAAAGATTATGGAAATACTCAAGATGTACATAACAGATTATATCAATTTATCCAGGCTCTCTCGGTTTTTTCCATTGTAATATTTACGCCAACCCAAATTCAAATAGTAAATATTTAATTTTAACCAAGTCAGTAAATGTTTGTAGCAAACTTTATTGACTGTTTACTATTACAGTAGACCCCCTCTTAACCGACCCTAATGGGACCGGACCTAGGTCGGATAACTCAAATGGTCGGATAAAACGGACAATCCCTAAATTCATAACATAATGAAGTGCTATTCATTTGGAAATATATAATCATAATATTAGTAAGATTATTTTGAAGTCATACTTGCATTATTTTTAAAATAAACTACTCTTATCTCCTTTTACATATTGATAGAAAAGTCACAAATAAACACAAAACACGGTTAAGTCAAATAGGCCTACTTTCAGTGGAATATATTATAATACTAGGCAAGAGTAAATAAAATTCCTATTTTAATAACTTTAGTACTGTAATGTATTAATTGATGCTTTCAAATACATCGTAATACAGTACAGAACCTTTTGTCAACATTAAAGATACAAGCGACCATTTTGTTACAAAAAAGGACGTTTATTTATAGCCTCTCACTGGAGGCTTGAGGCACAAAAACTATCTTGACCTTGGAGTTGTTAACCCCCCCTTCCCTGCCTTCCCTACAAGTTGCGTTGTTTGTTTACTCCGGCGATAAGATAATCAGTTCTCAAAATCGTAACGCACTTTATGATGTTATAAATTTGCCGCACAGATAACAAATCAGATCAGATGTGCTCGAGCTACGAACGATGATGACAATCTGACAATAGGCTATGCTATATCTTTTTTGATCAACACAAAATAACTTATTGTTAGTCATATCCTGTGGAGATAAGCGTATGGTTCAGTTCTCATCGCCCAGCGTGGGAGCGGAAATGCCGAGATTCCTAGAAAGCGGCGGTTAAACTGAGCTGCTCTCAAAGCAAGATCAGTTAAAACAAACTGTATTATTTTACGATCAAAGGCGGATAATCCGATTATCGGTTAATACTAGGTCGGTTAAGAGGGGGTCTACTGTAACATATGTTCTTCTTCTCACTTTTAATTTCTGACAACAGCTGGAGTTTCATAACAATTTTTATTTCCCATGTTAATCTTATGGAGAAATAAAAAACTTTAAAGGGCCCCAGGGCCTCACTCTCTAATTATTTACATGAAAAGAATGTTTCCTGCACAACTTCACGTTACGCTCTTTCCAATGACAACAAAAACATGTCAATCAGTTCAGTAGTTTCGGAGGAGTAATTGTCACAAAAACCCTGCTTGCGTATTAAATAAGTAATATAGATATTGTCCAAGCGCTTTTTTCCATTGGATTTAATGATAATTTCCATTTGCGGTATGCAAACACAAATTCAAATAGTAAATATTTAATTTCAACCAAATCAGTAAATGTTTTTACATCATACTACACAGAAACAGGTACTTTTCCATCTGTATTGATAGGCTGGAATGTTGCCATTTGCCGTGGCTACACAAGGAATAATAACATAATGTACTTTTACCATGCACTAAGTCAGCCGATGAAATAAACAACTGATTGCAACGGCCTATTTTATTTTCTGAAATATAAAAATATTATAATTTATGTTATGTCCTATTGTGTTATGAGTATAAATGTACTAATTTTTCTGTGCAGTATGATGTAAAGTATTGTAATGTAATAACTTATTATTATTACTTACTATAACTTATCACTTACTTATTATTAGTAATGTAATATATTAATACATGCGTTTCCTTGAATTGCAACCTAAATATTAACAGCAATTACATTATCCAGCTGATCATAATGTAAACAAATATGTTCTTCATAAGGATAACATGGGAACTTTAAAAGCCACTGAGGCAGAGCCCAAGGTACTTTAAACAATATTTAAGGTAAATCTACGCGAATTGCTCTTTCCAATGAGATATAAATGGTCAAAATCGGTTAAGAAATGGCGGAGGAGTTCAAAGGACAAATTTTGTGTTGATGAATTAATTATTTAGATTAGATTAGAAATTGCATAATAGAAACTAACTGTACCTTTTCATTGATTTCATCTTTCATAGTCTGAAATTGCTTGATAAGAGAATGAGTGTCATACATTCCTCTTAGGTGCAGAAACAATACTTTCTTGGAACTGCAATAGCAACCTTCAATGGAGCTCTGGAAAAATAACACTAAATTACATTTTAAAGCAGTTAAATCAAATTATATTTTAGTATGTTGATGACATTCAACAAAAGAAGTAACCGTGCAAAATGATACAATGAGATACAAGAAAAAGAGAGTAATTGTAATGATTAAGATACATTTCAAAGTCTAATTGAGTTTGAAAAATGGACAGAATAAAATGACCGCCCCTCTGCCAGATAAAAGCCACATCAAATAAACGAGGCGATGATATAAATCAACCATAGTCCGATCATGCTGGTTGGTGAAATTGTTAGAATAAATGAAGGTTTACACGTTTCTGCAAAATTTAATCAAAATAGGGTCATCTCGTCACAAGTCCTGGTTTTACCATGAGACCTACGGTAATAGCTTACTAACTATATGGGAAACCCGCTACCTAATTAATTTCTAAAACACTATAACACAAATTATAGCTTTAACACTCCCTTTCTCTCAAAATCATCTTTCCTTGACAAGATGAATCTTGCAAATACGTTTCGTGGTTGATTCAGAATCTTTGGGCAAAAAGAACCCCCTTTGCGTTTGCATATAAGAGGATACGTTTTTATGTACAAAGGATTAACTGAAATATTGTTGAAATCTCATGTTAAGAAATCATTCTATGGATTTATTTTTTCAAAATTAATTTGCTGAATTCCAGTCAAAACTTTACTAGAAGTTAGAGTTTAATTAGTCAAAACCAAACCCAACATTTCAGGTGTTGAGATGTGAATTAGTGTAAAAATATTGGAGTTTCCAAATAATATTTAAGTGATCCTTGTATAAATATTTAAATACCAAGTTAAAAGTTACCATGGTTTCTGGATCTACACCGTGATCAGCAACAACTGTTGGGTTAAACACTTGATATCCCAGGATATTATCAACGAGTCCAACTTTGCAGCCTTTCATTTGATAAGAAGACATTCCAAAGAATGAAACCACAACAGTCTTATTGCCAAGGTATTTTGAGAGATCTCTGAAAAATGATAAATTACTTACAACTTATTCAGTAATCTAAATCATCGTTTCCAGTCTGACGTTGCACCTAATAATTAATCAATATTTGTATTTTTTGAGAAGCTGGTTAAGGAAATTATCCAACTAAAACCAAGAAAAGTTAAGAAGTAAGTTATTATATTTTTGAGAAGACCATAAAAAAGGAGCAAGATAATGAACATTAAGATTGCCATACCTCAGACAGCTCAATTGTTTTTGTCTGGAAAAACATTTAAAAAATACAGTACATCTCTGAATTGTTTTCCCGATTGAGCTTTGGGGCACTGTCTGTATTATGATTCAAAAAAAGTCATGCCTAACACCCCACAGAAAGTTTGGCCAAATAAATTATATTGGCTGAGATGTTCAACAGTTGAAATGGCAGTTACGGTATACCTGTTTTACACAAAAAAACAAGTAAAGCTGCTCATGTTTGTTCTTAAAATAAGCCTCGATCATTCAACAACTGATTTTTGTTATCTTCTCTGCCCCGGTGGAGGGGAGGGGAACGGCCCCCTATAATCCTCTCTGGTGGTGCCCAAGCATTATTTATGATTTTTTTACAGTGAGTGCTCTCGAAGATATCAAATTTATTTGTGAATCACTGTGTAAGTATGCAATGTGCATTAAAAAGTAACATCAAAATATTTTCTTGTCACGATCCTTATTCTTGATAGATAAGCTAATAAGCTATCTAACTTGCCAAGTATATGTTTTGAATCCCACCTCACATAATGATATTATTTGCTCGAAATTCAATTGTTGTATTTCATGAAAATTTTAAAAAAAGCATTTCATGCATTCCCAAAGTGATAGGTATTATATCAAATGTATTGTTATTTTATCATTGTGCATGAATACACAAAACAGTTTTTATTTCAACACTATATAAAATACTTACTCTTGATAAGTAGAAAAGGGAAAATTAAACTTCTTTGGCTTCATGATCTATAACTACTATAAACTTTCCCTAAATGATATCCTCTATTCAATTGCGGGTCCTTGCAAAGTAAATTTCTTCTCTTAGATAGTTTAATCGAGGAGATCTGAAAAATACCATACAAGGCATAAAATTAGGCTTTTGAATATGATTAAATATATTTGTAAATACTTTATAGGTTATTATTCAATAAACTGTGATATAAATTAATTGCGAACTTTCAACGGGTCATAAATTTTGTTGAAATACAATGCAATTAAGGCTCGTGCCTTATATAAATATACTAACACAAAATAAGTTAGTTAAAAGAAGAGATTATAACATTGAAACACTTTTGTCTTAAGAAAGAACTACAATAAAATTAAATATAAAGTTTAAACAGTCAGCTGATCATATGATAATTTTAACATTCAAAGTATAGTTGAGACAGTATAGCAGATTCAAATTAATGGCAAAACCATGTAGCCACATACTCCCCTCCCAGTGTCAACGAGGAACGTAACGATGCGGGGGATGAACACTACGACCTAATCTTGTAAAAATCTGTGTTTTTTTAAGGTCAACATCTTCATTTCTGTCTTTGGTCTTGTCTACTTGAGTTTCTCTAGGTTGCATGTCATTTTTTCTTACGTTAATGGTCGTATCGTTCATAGAATCTTGAAGGAGGAATGCCGGTTTGAGTCGGTCAATAGAAATCGACGTAGGTCCTCGTGGAGTAAGAATAGTAAACCACTTGTCAGATCGCGAAACCACTTGGTAAGGGCCATCATAGACAGCTTGCAACGGTCTTCGGGATGAATCATGACGAACAAAAACATGGTTGGATGTTCTTAATTCTGGATGAACAAAGACCTTCTTAGAAGAATGGTATTTGGCTTCTATTGGTTTGAGATCATTCATTTTTCTTTTCAGATTGTACACTAAATCAGGAACATTTGTTGAGGTATCTTCTGTGGTTTGAAAAAGATCGCATGGCAGTCTGATGGACTGACCTAGTGTCATTTCTGCAGCAGTAACATTGTGTTCTGGAATAATATAAGATCTTAGTCCCAGTAGAACCATTGGTAAAGTCTGTGTCCAGTTAGATGTGAGTTGAGCTGTTAATGCAGATTTCAGATGTCGGTGCCATCTCTCGATCTTTCCATTAGCTTCAGGGTGATACGCTGTAGTTTTAATGTGATGGATACCAAGATGTTTTGTTAATTCCTGAAATAAATTGCAGTCAAATTGTCTTCCTCTATCTGTAGTAATGTTTTGAGGAACTCCAAATCTAGCAATCCAGGTAGAAAGAAGTGCTTCTGCAACTGTTCTAGCAGTAATATCCTTGATAGGCGTTGCCTCGACCCATCGGGTAAAGCGGTCTATGATAGTTAGCAAGTACGTAAATCCTTGAGAAGGTGGCAAGGGTCCAACTATGTCCACATTAATGTGAGAAAAACGTCCATTAATGTTGTTGTAAGCTCCAATCTCAGAAGTAGTATGTTTCCAAACCTTTGATTTCTGGCAAGCTACACATGTGTGGTTAATGGTGATGTACAATGATTGATAAAATAATATAATTAGTATTTTAGAGGATTTATTGTCTGGACAAAAGGTACAAGATCAAAAGAAAGAAAAAGGTAAACAAGAAAAGTAAATATTAGTTAACAATAATTGCTAACATGTGTTTTAAGTTCAAATCAATTGAATACTGACAGATGGTTAGGTACAGCCACAATACTCCCCTCCCAGTGACAGCGCAAAGTTTCATGTGAGGTATTTGGAAGAGAACCTCACAACACGTCCCGAGCGGGTTTTTCGTTCAGGGACAAGTCCAGAAGGTCCAGGTTGGGCTGAAGGCTGTTGAGTCTTGATGTTTCTAGGTCTCGTTGGTGGTGAGTCTGTTTCAGGTTGTTTCACCAGTTCATTATCTGACTCCATTGTTTTATCCATCTGAGACTGTGTAGGTTGAAGATGATTTTGAAGAATAAATGCAGGTTTCAGCCGATCAATAGAAACGGTATCTTCACCCCGTGGCAATAATATGTTAAAATACTTGTCACCTCTTGAAACAACTTTGAAAGACCCTTCGTATGTTGGTTGAAGAGGCTTTCTTATTGCGTCATGACGAATAAAGACATGAGATGAGGTCATGAGATCAGGATGGATGAAAATAGATCGTTTGTGATGATGGCGAAATGGTACAGGACGAATTGATTTGACATGGTCTTGAAGTCGAGCAAGTAGTTTAGGGATGTCATTCGGCAGCTTGGAGTCTTCAAAGAAATCAACAGGGAGGGTGATTGGTTCTCCGTAGACGAGCTGTGCAGGTGAAACTCCTATTTCTGGTATTATGTTTGAATGAAGTCCAAGCAGAACTGATGGAAGTTTGGAAACCCAGTCTGCTGTCAGTTGTGCTTTGAGAGCCGATTTTAAGGAGTGATGCCACCTTTCAATAGCTCCATTTGCAGCAGGATGGTAAGCTGTAGTTTTTATGTGATTTATGCCAAGCATGGCTGTCAATGATGAAAACAATTCACAATCAAACTGCCTTCCCCTATCAGTAGTAATAAAGCGAGGAACACCGAAGCGAGATATCCATGAGTGCAAAATAGTGGAAGAAACTTCTTCTGCGGTGATGCATGAGATTGGTATCGCTTCAGTCCATCTTGAAAACCTATCGATGATGGTTAACAGGTACTGATATCCTCTTGAAGGAGGTAAGGGTCCAACAATATCAACATTCAAATGAGAGAATCGTTTTTCGGCAGTAGGGTAGGCACCGAGTTCACTAGAAGTGTGCCGCCATGTTTTACAGCGTTGGCAAGGAATACAAGTTTTGGCCCACAATGAAACATCACGTTTCAGCGAAGGCCAGCAGAATCTCTCTTGAAGTAGTTTGACTGATGCGGCAATTCCAGGGTGAGATAGATTATGAATGGAGTCATAGAGAGGTCTTCGGTAGGCATGAGGGATGAAAGGTCGTAGAGTTCCAGTCGAAGATCGCAAATCAATTGAAGTCCATTATCAAGAATCATAGTTTTGAATGTAAATGATGATAAGTTGGATTGTTGGATGTGTTTGAGTTCATTACATACTTCTTGAGCATGAGCGATGTCTGTAAGTGATACAGTTGATGACAGTTCAATTTCTGTAATCCTAGAGCATGCATCTGCAGAAAAATTTTGTTTTCCGGGAATGTAACGGATATCAGTAGTGAATTGACTAATGTAGTCAAGATGTCTTTGCTGCCTAGGGGTCGCCTTTTCAGGGCGCTGTTCAAATGCGTAGCTGAGAGGCTTGTGATCCGTCAGAATAGTAAAGTGACGGCCTTCTAGGTAATGTTTGAAGTACTTGACTGCTTCATATGCGGCCAGAAGTTCACCGTCATAAGTGCTATAGTTCTGTTGAGTTTTAGTGAGGATTTTAGAAAAGAAACCTATTGGTTCTGGAGTATTTCCTCTCATTTGCTGGACAGAAGCCCCGATCGCGAAATTTGAAGCGTCAACTGAGAGGATGATGGGAAGATTGCTGGAAGGATGGTAAATCAGAGTAGCATTAGCCAGTTCTGTTTTCAACCTGTTGAAAGACTCTTTGGCGCTATCGTTCCATTGTATTTTGCTTTTGTCCTTTCGTTTGGGCGATGAACAAAGGTCGTACAGGGTCTTTTGTGTTGTTGCTGAGTTTGGTAGTGATCTCCTATAGAAGTTAACGATTCCTAAAAATCGTCTCAGTTGATCAACTGTGTCAGGAAGAGGATAGTTTAGTATCGTTTGAACACGTTCAGGTAATGTAAATATTCCACTTTTGTTGATTCGATAGCCAAGGAATGAAATCTCCGAGACAGAAAACTCACATTTTGATGCGTTAATGCAGAGGCCGTGTTTGGATAGACATTCAAAAAGAAGGCGAACATGTTGCTCGTGTTCCTGTTCAGACTCAGAAGCAATTAAGATGTCATCCAGATACGAATATGCAAACGTAAGGTCTCGTAAAACATGGTGAATGAAGCGTTGGAAGGTTTGACCTGCGTTCTTTAATCCAAATGGCATGCGTAAAAACTCAAACAAACCAAAAGGAGTAATAACAGCTGTTTTAGGTACGTCATCTGGATGAACAGGGATGTGGTGGTAGGCTTTGACAAGATCTATTTTAGAAAATATTGTCTTGCCTTCAAGCTGTGAGTTGAAGTCTTGTACATTAGGTATCGGATACTTATCCGGAACGGTAATGTAGTTAAGAGCTCGGTAGTCACCGCATGGTCTCCAGGTGCCGTCCTTCTTTGGTACCATGTGCAACGGACTTGACCAAGAACTCTTAGAAGGTCTACAGATACCTAAATCAATCATTTTCTGAAACTCTAATTTAGCCTGAGAGAGTTTGTCAGGAGCTAACCGTCTGGCTTTAGAGGTAACAGGTGGTCCATTGGTACTGATTGTATGGAAGAATTCAATGTCTGGTGTTTTATGTCCAGGTATGTCTTTCAGTAATTCAGGAAATTCATGTAATAGGTGTGAGTATTTACTATTTGGGTCAATCAGATAAATCTCAGAAGATACTGACGGTGATGGTGTTGAGCCACATTGAAAGAGGTTCGTTTTGTTGTCTGTTAACTTTTTATTTTTGATGTCAATTAAAAGGCCGAATTCTGCTAGGAAGTCTGCACCAATTATTGGTTGTTGGACGTCTGCAATAGTGAAAGGTCAACAAAATGATCTGCGGAGACCTAGGTCAAGTTGTAAAAGTTTCTCGCCAAACGTGGGGATATTTGAACCATTAGCTGCATAAAGTAATTTGGCAGATGTTTTTGGCTTTTGTTTGCTATGTGCAGGTAACACAGAAATGTCAGCACCTGAATCAACAAGAAATTTTGTATTAGTCAGCCGATCGTAAACAAAAAGACGGCGAGGTTGATGTTTTGCGCTATCTCCCGCCGAATCAAGATAGTGCTGAGTTAGTTTTCCGAATTTTTGGACGGGGAAGAATGGTAGTTGCATGGAGTTGTGCATCTTGTAGCGTTTTTACCGAAGTTTCTATGGTACCAGCAGACAGATTTATTTCGTTGAGGAGTTGCGTCACGGTTCTGATATTGGTAAAGTCGAGAACCAGATTTTGAACGGGAGCGTAAAGATAAAATTTGGTTGGTTAGTTCGGTGATTTGGTTTTCTAGGCGAGATAATCTATCAGGTTGTGAGCTTGTTGATGTTTCACCTTTCAAGGAATACATGTGCTGAGAATGAGTGGGAGAGTACTCCATGATTTTATCAGCCATGGTTGCTAGATTGTCTAGAGAGTCGGAGCTAGATGCTAATATTGAGCTGATCTGAGGGGGAAGACGTTTAAAAAATAATGTTTTTAGGAAATCGTCTTTAACTTGGGAACCTGCAAGAGTACGCATTTCCCTAAGAAACTGAGAAGGTTTTTTCGAACCAATTTCTAGTTCGTCAACCAGTTTAGTGAATTTTCTGCTCTCTGATTCTTCGAATTCAGAGATCAGGCGATTACAAAGGTCTTGATAAGGTGTTTGGCTAAGTGGTTTCTCTAAAAGATCTGAAAGCAATTCGGCAACATCGGTATCAAGATTTCCAAGAATGTGGTAATATTTTGTTCGTTCTTGAGTGATATTTTTTACAATGAATTGTGCCTCAACTTGACGTAACCAGGACCTTGACATTTTTCCTCCAAAAGGGTGGAATTTTGACTGTTAGTTTCGAGAGATTATTTGAATTGGTTATTAAATTGGGATCAGTGACATTTTCTTCAGTGTCTGACATTTTTAGGTCTAAACTAACCTGGTTTTGTTCTGACTGACGAAAGTTGAGGTTTCTTGGAGATGCTGTCCTGTCTTGAAGGATTTACTTTTATGTTGCTTCAATTATCACGTCGTTGGTCACCAGTGTGGTTAATGGTGATGTACAATGATTAATAAAATAATATAATTAGTATTTTAGAGGATTTATTGTCTGGACAAAAGGTAGGCCTACAAGATCAAAAGAAAGAAAAAGGTAAACAAGAAAAGTAAATATTAGTTAACAATAATTGCTAACATGTGTTTTAAGTTCAAATCAATTGAATACTGACAGATGGTTAGGTACAGCCACACATGCTTTGGCCCAAAGTCTGACATCTTTATTCATGGAAGGCCAAACAAAACGTTGTTTAATAAGGTCCAGAGATCCTTTGATTCCAGGATGTGCCAGGTTGTGAAGGGAGTCAAATAACTGCTTTCTGAACTGCTGAGGAATAAATGGTCGTAGCCTTCCAGTATGTGTGTCACAACACAGCTCTGAGCCATTAGGAAGTAAAATATTTTTGAATATCAAAGAAGTTGTGTTTGAGTACTTCAGGTTTTTAAGTTCAGCATCTTGAGATTGAGTTTCAGAAATTTGTCCAAATGATATAGATGAAGGTAGGTCAATAGCACTTATTCTTGACATGAAATCAGCAGGAATGTTTTGTTTTCCTGGAAGATACCTTATGTCGGTAGTGAACTGTCCAATGAAGTCTAGATGACGCAATTGCCTTGGACTAGATGTATCAGAGGGTTTATTGAAGGCAAAAGATAGAGGTTTGTGATCTGTATATATAACAAAACTTCGCCCTTCAAGGAGATAACGGAAGTGCTTCACAGATAGGTATGCAGCCAGGAGTTCCCTGTCATAGGTACTGTATTTTTTTTGAGTTGTTGTAAGGGATTTAGAGAAAAACCCAAGAGGTTCAATTGAATTAACGACAATAAAAAGTACAGTAAGGGGTCACCAAATAAGGCTCGTGCCTTATATAAATATACTAACACAAAATAAGTTAGTTAAAAGAAGAGATTATAACATTGAAACACTTTTGTCTTAAGAAAGAACTACAATAAAATTAAATATAAAGTTTACAAACAGTCAGCTGATCATATGATAATTTTAACATTCAAAATATAGTTGAGACAGTAATTAGCAGATTCAAATTAATGGCAAAACCATGTAGCCACACAATCATCATGTAACACATTGGAGGGCCACGGGTTTCGGGCCCTACTAGACACCATAAGAACGTAATGGACAAGGCAACACCAGGCAGCTGGCGGCGCTTGACTATCAGGGAACGATGCATTGGTAAAACCAAATCCCTATCACATCGGAGCATGGTGGGCCGATTTGAGCTGGCGATTTGGATTCTCAATATTCTCATTGGGAGTGCTGAGCGCTACAGTAGCTTTGTTTACATCCCGCCGTGTATGTTGTACACCAACCGGCAAACGGGTTATAGTTGTAATATTTTATGAAATAACAAGCTCCTATACCCGTGCTTTGCAACGGGAAGAAAATGTGACCTAGAGAGCTGATAAAATCTATTAAAGTGGTGCTGATGTGTGTTTTAAAATACAGCAACTCTATGGTTTAGTTTGAAAATATAAACTGATTTAAAACTGTAAACCCACTTACTTTCAAAACCCTACTTTTGATGTTAATAGATCCATAAGAATATGACAACATACCTTAGTAGCAATAGAATCAATTGCTTCA